TCGAATACACATTTTATTGGGGGTTTGACGCAGCACAATCTTCTTACTCTTAATTTTATCCAGGCATTTTTTGTTGTGATACATTTAGTTCGGTTTATATATGGTGCACTACAGTACTAAAAACGTCACCTTGACGTACTGAAATGTGTAGCAAGCTTGTTTTGCTAAAACAATTACGGCTGTGTAGTGAGTTCGATCCTCATTGGGTACCCCGTACTTTTGTCCTTGTGCCACATCTAAGCTACGCATAGAAAATCACCTCTACCGTTCTAAATTTTTTTTCACTTTCATTCTTCCTTTGTTTTCTCGTTTTCTTTCATCTTTTTCTTTCTTTTTTTTATTTCTATGCCCTTCTCCCGTTTATTCTTTCTTTCCTCTTTCTTTTTCTTTTTTCTTTTCTTTATTTCTGTGCATTTCTTTTTTCTTTCTTTCTGTTTCTTCTTTTTCTTTCTTTCTATAGCTGGTAATATTTATTTTCAAAAATTTATAGCTGATAATAATATATTGCTGGTAATAATTTTTCTTCAAAAATTTATTGCTGGTAATAATTTTTTACAAAGTATTTCTGATATTAAAACCTATTTTTACATTTCCATAGTGTTTTGACCCCGGTTTGGGGGTTAACTATTTACCCATAGCTGGGACCCTAACAGGTGCTACCATCCCAGGTCAGAGGGGACCTGGGAATAACAGTAATTAAGAGATGGTTTCTCGCTCCTCAAAACTTCCTGATCAGAGGCCTCGCTGTTGGACGTAGCTTATCGTCTTACCCAGGACACGGATGTAGTTTATCCATCATAGTAATTTTCCTTAGAATCTCCTCATTGACATCAGCTCTCAACTAGGCATTTATCAGATGACAAGCATGTATTTCTGTATTAGTTGCAAATCCGACAGATCTGACAAAAATAAACCTGGCAGCTGTTCTTGAAAAGAGCCTCTAGTCAGTGGTTAATTGGGGCAAGGAATGGCTTGTAAATGTTAACGTCTCCAAAACAAAACTGCTTTCACTTAATCAACATAGAATCTTTTCTGTCTGCCATCAGCACGACTAATGCTAAGCTCCAGGAGAGCAACACTTTACGCCTTCTTGGGATCATGTTTAAAGGTGGAATGGACTGACTAGATCGAATCAATAGCTGCATCTACTGCAAGGAAAGTTGGTTTACTGTGCCTTGCCAGAAAAATGTTCTCGTCAGAATACATATTGTAAATTTTTAAATCTACCATTCATCCAAGCATTGAATACTTCCAGTTATATCTGGTCCGGTCCTTCTGTATTTCTCAAGATTTTTAGCAATATCCAAAGAATGGTCTGTAATATAAACGATCCTGACCTGGCAACTCGACTTGTCGGGGCTTCTTTCTGTTTTTTTTTTTTTTACAAATATTTTCAGGGTAACTGTCATGGTGAGCTTTTTTCCTAGTGCCTAAACTACAAGAATTTAAGCAGGCTACTAGATTGGCAACGATTTTTCGTCGTTTTACTGTTGAAATAGCTAAATGAAACCGCCTCTTTTCAGTTTATTTCCTCGCACCTCCAACCTGTGGAACTCCCTTCCGATGTCTCCCTCCCCTGATAACTAAAATCTTCAAATGTCAATCGCCATGTGCTCTCTTTTTGAACCCTATTTCTTATTTTGTCCTTTCTTCAATCATACCCAGTCTCAATATTCACATTCTCTTTAAATTTCACTACATGTAAAACCCATGCGTCTTAGTGGCATTATCACCTTGCCTGGGGTGAAATGATTAAAAAATGAAATAAAACAAAAAAAAAGAGTCCGGATTTTTTTTCCCTGCAATATCAGTCCTCCTATACACCAATGAATTCTGGACAGTTTTCTCACAGATGAAGAAATTATTTGAGAACAGCTGCCAGGTTTACTTTGTCAGATCTGTCGGATTTGCAAGAACGCTGGAAATAACATAGACGGAACATGTAAACAATGAGGAAGTTTTAAAAGAAAACGAACCAAAAAGGTCACTTTTATTTAGAATCAGAAAGAGTTAGTAGAAAGTTCTGGGACGCATAATGAGGAAAGAAGACTTGGTAAATTTGAAACACACAAGATTATCGAAGGTAAAAGAACGATAGTAAACCGTAAGGAACAAATCAATTAAACGGATTTCAGAAGAAGGAACAGAAGGAATTGTCAAAAGAAACATTACTAAGAGGTACAAAGGATAGGAAATTATAGAAATCGTCCACGTCCCGAAAGGACATGATGCATAGAAGAAGAAGAGCAAGTCGGAATGGTGAGAAAAAAGAACTCATGAGAAAAGACAGAAAAAAATATAATATAAAAAAAAGAATGAAAATTACGCAGTTCAGGGCAAATAAAAAAAAATGGAGTTTATTTTAAGTGAAAGAGACAAGGAATGAAATACGTCAGGCGAGATGCTGTGGTGGAGAGGCGCCAGAGAATGCCGCGTGGGGGGTGGAAGGGGAGCTTATGTTTACGGAAATGGTTGATTATTTTGAAATCCTAAATCTGGATGCTTTCAGCAGAGAAACGAACACAAAGAGGGGAAAAGAAAATACTGTCGACGCGAACATCCCGATCAGGTTCCATCCGAGCGTTGGCCAGATGTTTTGGGATAGTGCTTTCGAGGGGTCGAGTTTTCGGAAATAAAAGCGGGGTGTGTCAATAGAAGACGGGTCGAGAGGTTGCTGATGGTGGATGGCGGTTTTGTTTCGTAGTCTTGTTAAGAAGTTAGAAATACCTAAGCATGGAAAAGAAGGAAGGGAATGAAAGTAATGAAGAGAGGAACGAAGGAATAGAGAACGGAGAGAGGAAGGAAAGAAGGAACAATGGAATCAAGAATGGAATAGAGGAATGAATGAATGAATGAATGAAGGTATAAGGAATCAAGAACAGATAGAGGGAGGAAGGCAAACAAGTGAATCAAAAATAGAAGGAAAAAACGAACGAAAGATCGAACAAACGAACGAATGAACGAACTATTGAATAAAGAAAGGAATTGAGGATGGAAAGAAGGCAAGCAGGCAGGTAGGAACGAACGAACGAACGAACGAACGAGAGAATGAAGAACGGAATAGACGAACGAAAGAAGAAACGATTGAAGGAACGAGTGGACCAAAAACGGAATAAAGGAAGGAAGGAAGGAAGGAAGGAATTGAGAGGAAGGAAGGAAGGAAGGAAAGAAGGGGGGTAGGAACGAAGAACTAACGAACGAACCACTGAAGGAACGAACGTGAGAATGAAGAACGGAATAGACGAACAAAAGAAGAAACGATTGAAGGAACGAGTGGACCAAGAACAGAATAATGGAAAAACGCACGGAAGGAAGGAAGGAAGGAAGGAAGGAAGGAAGGAAGGAAGGAAGGAAGGAAGGGAGAACGAACGAACGAACGAAAAATCGAACGAAGATATCATGTAAAGAAGGAATAAACGAACGAACGAACGTCGAAGGGATCAAATATGGAATAAGGGAATGAAGGAAGAAAGGAAGGAACGAACTAGGGAATTAAGAACGGAACAGAGGATGAAAGGCGGACAGGTAGGAAGGAACGAACAAGAGAATGAAGAGCGGAATAGACGAAAGAAGAAAGGAATACGGGAAGGAACGAGGGAATCATGAACGGAATAAAGGAAGGAAAGAACGAAGGAACGAAAATATCATGAAAGGGAGGAAGGAATGAACGAAAGAACGAAGGGAAAGAAGAAAGGATGACAGAACAGAGAAAGGAAAGAAGGAATTACTAATAGAAAGGAGAAATGAAGTTAAAAGTAAAGAACGGAATAGAGGAAAGAAGGAACGAACTAGAGAATCAATAACGGAAATTAGAAAGTAGGAATAACGACCGGAATAAAAGAATGAAGGTATGAATGAAAAAATGAACGAACGAACGAGGTACTCAAGAGAGGAAAGGAACAATAAAGGAAGGAACGATCGAACGAAGGAAGGAATCAAGAATGCAAATAAAAGAAGGAACAAAGGAACGATGGAATAAAGAATGGAAAAGAGGAATAGAGTAAGGAATGATCGAACGAATGAATCAAGAACAGAATAGAGGAAGGAAAGAACGAGGGAATCAAGAATGAAAAGAGGAATAAAGGAAGGAAGGAAGGAAGGAACGATCGAACGAAGGCGGGAAACAAGAATGCAAATAAAAGAAGGAACAAAGAGACGAGGGAATAAAGAATGGAAAAGAGGAATAGAGTAAGGAATGATCGAACGAATGAATCAAGAACAGAATAGAGGAAGGAAAGAACGAGGGAATCAAGAATGAAAAGAGGAATAAAGGAAGAAAAGAAGGAAGGAACGATCGAACGAAGGCGGGAAACAAGAATGCAAATAAAAGAAGGAACAAAGAGACGAGGGAATAAAGAATGGAAAAGAGGAATAGAGCAAGGAATGATCGAACGAATGAATCAAGAACAGAATAGAGGAAGGAAAGAACGAGGGAATCAAGAATGAAAAGAGGAATAAAGGAAGAAAGGAAGGAAGGAACGATCGAACGAAGGCGGGAAACAAGAATGCAAATAAAAGAAGGAACAAAGAGACGAGGGAATAAAGAATGGAAAAGAGGAATAGAGTAAGGAATGATCGAACGAATGAATCAAGAACAGAATAGAGGAAGGAAAGAACGAGGGAATCAAGAATGAAAAGAGGAATAAAGGAAGAAAAGAAGGAAGGAACGATCGAACGAAGGCGGGAAACAAGAATGCAAATAAAAGAAGGAACAAAGAGACGAGGGAATAAAGAATGGAAAAGAGGAATAGAGCAAGGAATGATCGAACGAATGAATCAAGAACAGAACAGAGGAAGGAAAGAACGAGGGAATCAAGAATGAAAAGAGGAATAAAGGAAGAAAGGAAGGAAGGAACGATCGAACGAAGGCGGGAAACAAGAATGCAAATAAAAGAAGGAACAAAGAGACGAGGGAATAAAGAATGGAAAAGAGGAATAGAGTAAGGAATGATCGAACGAATGAATCAAGAACAGAATAGAGGAAGGAAAGAACGAGGGAATCAAGAATGAAAAGAGGAATAAAGGAAGAAAAGAAGGAAGGAACGATCGAACGAAGGCGGGAAACAAGAATGCAAATAAAAGAAGGAACAAAGAGACGAGGGAATAAAGAATGGAAAAGAGGAATAGAGCAAGGAATGATCGAACGAATGAATCAAGAACAGAATAGAGGAAGGAAAGAACGAGGGAATCAAGAATGAAAAGAGGAATAAAGGAAGAAAGGAAGGAAGGAACGATCGAACGAAGGCGGGAAACAAGAATGAAAATAAAAGAAGGAACAAAGAGACGAGGGAATAAAGAATGGAAAAGAGGAATAGAGCAAGGAATGATCGAACGAATGAATCAAGAACAGAATAGAGGAAGTAAGGAACGAGGGAATCAAGAATGGAAAAGAGGATTAAAGGAAGAAAGGAACGAAGGAACGATCGAACGAAGGCGGGAATCAAGAATGCAAATAAAAGAAGGAATAAAGGAACGATAGAATAAAGAATGGAAAAGAGGAATAGAGTAAGGAATAATCGAACGAATGAATCAAGAGCGGAATAGAGTAATAAAATAACGAACGAGCGAAGGTAAACTAGTTAAAAGAAATGGAAAGAATCCAGAAAAGTGATTCTTCACGGGCTCCCAAAAGAGGAGTTTAGAGTTTAAAGGGGAGAAATATTAACTGGGGGAGAAAATTAGGATGGATTTCTGATAAAGTAGTAAGTCTAATGGTAAAATATCATAAAAGAAGAATTCAAAAGAGCGGATTCGAGGACCCCTGGAATCGCAAGAGTAGCCATGTGGCCCGAAACTCCGTGAGAATCACTAATGATATGAACCTGTATTTCTTATTCAGTAACAAGAAAATCAACGGTGTTACACAGAATTCAGTGTTTCTTGAAACTAATTATAAAATATAATAAAGATTAAAAATAACAATAAAGTATTTTCAAAGACGCAATTAATTTTATTTAAATTTTAATTTAATAATCTCTTAGCAACCACTTGGCATTTACAGTTGCCCTGGTGACTGCCGTCCTCAGCAAGTTCTTACTACCGGGCATACTTCTGCAATGTAATCACCCAAAACATATTAAGTTCATGCCAAAAGTCAATCTGTTCTTCATATAAAGATTTAGAATTTTTAATGAATTAATAACAAAAAAAGCAACAATAATGAGGTTCACATTATTGTAAGCTTTGCCTTTTTCCTATTTTGTTTATTTAAGCAATTATTCGTAGATGACTGCAAACAATTTCCAGTATGTCTACCATTCGTTCATATTTTGAATATTGCTGCCACATGTAACCCGGTGCTCCTGCGATATGTTCAGAGATTCTTGATAAAATCCAAAGAAAAATCAGCAATATTATTGGTCTTCAGCATCTGCCCTCAAGGACACATAGCACAGTGGATAAAGGCGTTGGTTAGACCCGGTAACAGGATACAAAGAGTGGGAGTCCAATACCCGGTTAAGGCAGTGGAGAACTTGGAGAATGGAATTAACAGGAGATAACTGACATCCATTAAACATGGTACGTGGAACTAGAACAGTCTAACCCAGTGAGCGAAATAAAGGGTTCAGTTCTACATTCCAACCACCTGAAGAAGGCTGGAGCGTACAACGGCCGAAAGGTTGTAATAAATATGGCGACAAAGATGAGGGCAATAGGCCGAATAATGTAAATAGTGTACATAATACCTCATCTCCGAAATATAGACAGATGTTCAGTTTGACATTCCAACCACCTGAAGAAGACCGGAGAGTAAACGGCCGAAGGATTGTAATAAATAAGATGAGGACATTAGTCCGAATAATGTAAATTATTTGTTTTAACTTGATTTCTCGACTTCGGTCATTTTTCCAACGACTTAAAGTGGCTTGCCTGTGCCTTTTTTTTTAATAAATTTTAACGAATGAAAAAGAATTAAAAAAATAAATTAAGAAGCGAGAACAATAGAAGATTAATCAAGAATACAGTAGATAAAAAAAAATTAAAGTTGTCTAAAAAGCATAGAACCGGAAAGGAGTTCCAAGGGGGGGGATACGATAGAAGAAAAGGTTAGCATAGAACCTGCGATTATATCTAGCCAGTTCAGCTGTAAATGGATGAGACTTTGTTGTCAATCTAGTACCGCACCTAAGTTTCTAAAATCGAGGTGCCATAGTTCATCCGAATAATAAAAGTATTTATAGAAAAGACACAGAGAAGGAATATCACGCTGATGGCAACGTAACCGAACCTGAACCTGATATATATATATATATATATATATATATATATATATATATATATATATATATATATCATTACAGGATCATTTTCCAACTTACTCAAGATGATATTCGCCCTCTCTAACCCTCGACCTTTCTGTCCTGGAGCAACAAGTTACCTCACGTAGGATTTCATTTTCAAGTCTTTTTTCAGTGCTCTTCGGACTGTCGGAAGCTCATGAATGAAAATTCATATATATATATATATATATATATATATATATATATATATATATATACAAGTATACGGAATAAATTCCAATAAGCAACAAATACTATTCTTAAAAAGAGTGCTCAATACAGAGTAGAGCAAATATAATTATTTATTCGAAAATTATAACATAAATATACCATAAAATCCCTACAAAAATAGCCATTTGAATAAGTAATTATATATATATATATATATATATATATATATATATATATATATATATATATATATATTTTTATTTTAGTATATTACAACAAAAACCTGTCAAAACCGCTACATAATTACAGTCGTGTTTCGATGCGAATTGACGGTCTCTTTTAAATTAAATGTTACGAACGTTAGAATTGTACTTCATTCATTCTCATTTTACATGGATACATACACACACACACGCGCACACACCGATATATATATGTATATATATATATATATAGGGTCTCCCTAAAATTGACATTATTTAAAAAGCAATATTCTTGAAAGCTTCTAAGTCTAGCTCAATGAAATTGAACAGCTTTTTTTTTATGGGACCGATTTCATAAGTGTTTATTATGTGCACCGCCTGTGACACGGCACACGTCAAGTCGATAGTTAAGCTCTTGCCAAACACGTTGTAGCATGCCTACGGTAACATTATCCCTTGCGAAAGTGATTCTCTGCTTGAGTTCATCAATGCTATCAGGAAGAGTAGGGGAGAGTTCCTTCATCTATCTCCATTAAGAGAAATCACTCTGGCAAATTCTCTTTGAGATAACAAAAATAAAGCATTAAATATAAAATCCTGAAAATTTGAGGTTATTTCAACAAGAAATATTGATCTGCAAAATGATGTCCATGTATTTTGGACACACACACACACACACACACACACACACACACACACACACACACACACACACACACACATATTGCATAAATTGATCCACTTTTTAAGTAAAAACAAAATTTGTCCAATATTTGAATATTTTTATGATACTATTCCTTGATCTAAGCTTTCGACTCACATGAGCCATCTTCAGGAGTGGTTATATGGACATATATTTTCGACCGAAATTAAAGCAACTATACGGAGTTTAGCACGGCTCATGATCAAACATAATAGACATCCGTAGTCTGTTATATTTAACAACATATTTTTTATATATATATATATATATATATATATATATATATATATATATATATATATATATATTTGGCCAATCGTATTCAAGGGTACCCGTCTATTAGGGTAGCTAGCCAATCCCTATTCCTGACGGTCGCATATTTATGTTTGTTAAACACCCACAGAGCCGATGCATGGTTTATACAGCAACTATGCTGAGCAGGCTTTAGTTACAGTTTCTGGGAGAGAGCGTTTTATATAGCGTGATCAACAATCTGAACCAGGCCAGCACACTCATAACTTCGGTCACTATGACTTGTGACTTCGTACTAACACAGGGTTCCGTCTACCCAATTTCCCTCACAAGGTTTAGGTCAACCCGTGGTATGGTTTTCAGGCATTTCTTAAAGGTGCCGCACGCTAGGATCGACCCCAACCTCTAGACCGATAACATCAGGAAGTCTGCTCCGTGACAAATAAACCGTGGTGAGATTCGAACCCGGGTCTCATGGTCAGAAAGCGCCCATAGTGTATGTATATATATATATATATATATATATATATATATATATATATATATATATATATATTATAAAATCCAGGTTGTATGTGTGTGTGTCTGTACGTTTATATATTGGATCGGATTTCCTACATTTTTCAACCGATTTCAACAAAACTTCACAGGACTACGTAAAATTATCTTGCGGTGGTTCTAACAGCGCCAAAAATCGGAAAAACACAATTGTTTTTGCGCGAAATCCATTTGAAAACACGATTGAGAGGCATCGCGTGAATGAAAGGGGGACAACTCATATCGAGTTATACTTATTATAAATCCCAGGTTGTTTGTGTGTGTGTTCGTTTATATATAGGATCGGATTTCCCACATTTTTCAACCGATTTCAACAAAACTTCGATTTTATTTTTGGCAGGTAGTCTTTCTTATTGTCTTGCACACTTTTTTCTTTATTTTTACATTCAGAATGCTTTAAAAATTCTATTTACAAGACAATTGTTTATAATAAAATTATATTCAATCGGTAGACTCATAACGATTCAAAACAATTTTTTGTTTGAGTTTGGGTTTGACCAATTCGTAAAAAAAAAAAAAAATACTAATTAAGACATGCGTGTCCGTCAACCTTAAACAATAATCTTTTTCAATTTTATTTTTCAGTCTTTATGATGGTCGATACTTGATCTAACTCTTACTGTTACATCCCCGGGCAACGCCGGGCTCTACTGCTAGTATATATATATATATATATATATATATATATATATATATATATATATATAGTGTTATGCTAATATACGAACGCATAACACGTTTATATTTTGATTATTGCAAAACTTACATATATAAGTGTGTGTGTATATGTGTTTGTATATATTTATCTCCAAAATTTTGCGATAAAAGAAATAAGTAATTCAATTGCACCCTCGACACATATAGGCTAAATTTGTTAATACACGTTTTTCTTCTCCTACCTTTGAAGTTCGTATTTCCAGTAGCCTTGACCTTGTATTCATCATGTCGATTCTCCGTCTAAATTGAATGGATTGTTTCAACAACAACAAAAAAAATAAAATAAAAATAAAAAAATAAGAATTAAATTCTGGGTGCTTAAATTGAACTTTAAAGATTTCCGCTTCACTGCTTCGGTTAAACAGGGAGACACAAAGCTGGTTAATAGATGGGGAGTTTATGATTCGGACAAAGGCACTCCATAACGGCATTGAAGCGAAAACAGGCATGAAAAGCCAGACCCTCGACGTCCCAGAATGCATTGCTGCACGCACGGAATCTAAACGATTTTGATTTATTTAGAATTTAGAGTTATTTTTTAATTTTTTTCTTTAGTTCTTTTTTTTTTTTTTTTCTAAAATGAGATTTACGAAAAGAAATTTAGATTTAAAGGATACACAAAACGGAAAGAAAACTAAACCCTCCCCAACAATAAATAAATAAATAAATTACAATAACAACGTATAACGTTTGGGTCTAAACATTTTAAAGAGATTTTAGAATTTAAAAAAAAAATCAACCTTTTTATTGTGCCATTTTTTTTTTTTTAAATTGTATTTATTTATTTATTTAATCAAATATTGTCTAGCGAGCAAAATAAATATAACACGAAACTAAATTTTTAATGATGTCCGCTCAGACATGCAAAGAATTTAGAACCAACCGAAGTGCATATTCTATTTAAACAATTACATAACGTCCTTCCTCCTATAAGAAGAACAATTTCGCGAAATCATTCGGTTTACAGATAATACTGAATTTTGATTATAATATTAAATGTTTTATAACAAGTTTAAACTTCTTTCCAATAATGGCACAAACTTGAAACGGTTTAAAGTTTACAGAAAGGGGAATGCCTTGAAATTCACTGAAGATTCAAAAATAAAATTTTAAAAAATAAATTTAACATTTCCGCGTGAAACATTTTCATGATAATTTAAACTACTTTTTAAAAAATGTTATATACCATTTTTTACTCGAACTATTAGCAGTTATGTTTTCATTTATGAATCAAGTCATTTATGTGCCATCCGTGATACACGCTTAGGCGATCATGTATCGTTCGATACATGACTGACGAGGCAGATTTTTTCCCCCACAGTAGGTTGCCATTTTTTTCTGCGGTAGACCAGTTGCCATCTATGGATATAGAATCCGATCTATCCTGCTATTTACTCATATCTTAGAAGAAGAGGATTTAAGGGTATTAACACATAAGTGAATGTAAAGGATTCAACTGGAATTCGAACTCGGCTCTCCAATTCCTCAATCCGAGCCGCTATCCATTACTCCACTTTATTTCTGAATAGTATTTCTTTTCATCATAATTTCAGTTGTTTTATTTAAAACCAATTAAACTTAAACGTTATTCAAAGCTACATGGGGTCGGAAGTTGTGGCGTGTACATTCCCTTTATTAAGATATCTAGAATACGTCGGCCTATAAACGTAATACACACTGTATAAAGTAAAAAATAAAAATGGGGCGTCTATTCAAAATACGAGTATCAATTATATTAACATTTGAAGTAATAAAATTTGTTGGATTGAAAAATAAATCCATTAGTTCTTTAGAAAATACTTTGTTCACGTTTCGTAATTTATGGTTTAAACGTTATTTTTAATGGATAAGCATATTTTAGTAGATGTTCAGTTTTTATCTATTTATTAAACAGTATATGTATTTAGGTATTTCAATCTACCTGTCTATTTCGAACACAAGGAAAATTAAACAAAAAGCTTAATCGCAGTACCTTGTCTGTCGTCTTTAATGAAATATATATATATATATATATATATATATATATATATATATATATATATATATATATATATATATTTCTAAGTATAGGATTGGTGTATACGGAATAAACTCCAATAACCAACAAATACTATTCTTAAAAGAGTGCTCAATACAAAGTAGAAGAAATATAATTATTTATTCGAAAATTATAACGTAAATATATTATAAAATCACTACAAAAATAGCCATTTTATTTCAACATCTCTGGTGTCTTATCAAGTGATGTTGATTCAACACCATCACTTGAGAAGACACCAGAAATGTTGAAATAAAATGGCTATTTTTGTAGTGATTTTATAACATATTTATGTTATAATTTCCGAGTAATAATTCTGTAATTGATTGTAAAGTTATCATCGTGGCAAGTGGTAAAGAATTGACAAATTCGAAAAAAGAACTGATTGTTAAGTTGCAGGGTGATTTGTTTTCACTGATTGTTGGGGTGCAGGATGATTTTCTCTCATCAGGAATCTGTGTCCCTAAACGGACAATAAGCAATGAAATTCACAGAAACAATCTAAAGTCCCGCTTCCCTTGGAAAACTCCACTACTATTAAAAAGACACGGAGTTCCAGCTTGAAATTCGTTCGCGAACATAGAGATTAAGAAAAATCGTATTGGGAAAACATTTTATGGACAGGCGAAACCAAAATTGAGTTGTTTGGACGTAATTCTAGAAATCATGTATGGAAGAATAATGGCGACGCCTTCAAACCAAAGAACACTGTTCCAACAGTGAAATTTGGTGGTGACAGCATCATGGTTTGGGGATTGTTTTTTCTGCTAAAGGTACTGGCAATATCAGTAATAGGTCTACACTTCGTGCCGACGTTGAAACATGCAACAGACTGTAACCGCAGGTGTTGACCCCGGCGTCCATTTTATATATTTACATATGCTCTACCCTAGTTATCGAGTACTTTTATCCATAAATATAGCAAACCTTAAAACCAGTACCGGATTTACCTATAGGTTTAGCGGGCTGAAGGCTAGTGCATCAGTATATAGAAGGCCTTCAGCCAAGGTGTATAATATTTTTTACGCTGTCATAGGCCTTCCTTGTACATGTTATTATAATGCATTTTAGCTTCTAAACAAAACTCAGTAAATTTAAACCCCCGTCATTTTCAACTTTACACATTATTTTGTTTTTATCTAACACTCTTCGCTTTTTGCTTTACTCGTGAAGATACTGGATTTGAAGAGATTCTCAAAGGTGGAATAGCCTCACTTCATCTAAATCTGGTCTGCTGAAAACTATATACCAATCATATATATATATATATATATATATATATATGATGAAATGGATTAAGTCCGACAATTATTCTAATATATTTTTTTCTTTATACGTTATTTTTATAGATACAAATATTTAAGTAAATGCTCTGTTTATAATAAACAGTATTAACAACAATTGCCGGTCTTAATGTCCAAGAAATTTCATAGAAGATGTGTTCTCTCACAGGAATCGAACCTGTACCCTCCACGTAAACGTAATATAGCCTGACGTGTTATACCATTTAGCTACAGAGGTAGCGTCTGGTGGGCAAAGTCAAATTACTGTTTTTAAACTACAGAATGTCCACGATTTCTCTCGAACGCTCATATCTGCTCAAAGCGTATCATAATATAAACAAATGACGTCATATATTATGAAATAGACGAAGTCCGAAAATTATTTTTAATATATTTTTGTTTATAAGTTATTTATATAGAGTGTGTCTATATTTCTGAGATGAGGTATTATGTACATTATTTACATTATTCGGGCTATTGTCCTCATCCTTGTCGCCATATTTATCACAACGTTTCGGCCGTTGTACGCTCCGGCCTTCTTCAGGTGGTTGGAATGTCGAACTGAACCCTTTATTTCGCTAATTTCCCTCTGAAAGTTCTCCACTGCCTTAACCGGGTATTGAACTCACACTCTTTGGGTCCTGTCACTGGATCTAACCAACGCCATGTAAATTATTTATATAGACACAGATATTTAAGTAAATGCTCTGTTTGTAATAAACAGTATTAACTACATTTACCGACCGGAATATCGTGGAAATTTCAAAGACAATATGTCAGACGACATCATGGACAGTTTGTAGTTTAAAAATTGTAATTTGACATTCCTATTCAGACGCTTCCTCTGTAGCAAATTGGTAAAGTACGTCAGACTATATGACGGTTCTGTGTAGGATACACGTTCGATTCCTGTCAGAGGACGCATGGTTTCTATGAGATTTCTCGGATATTCAGACCGGTAAATGTTGTTTAAGACTGTTTATTATAAACAGAGCAATTAACTTAAATATTTGTATCTATAAAAAGAATGTATAAACATAAAAATGTCTTAAAATAATTGTCGAAATTTGTCCATTTCATAATGTGTGACGTCATTTGTTTACATTTGATACGCCATGAGCAGATATGAATGTACGTGAGAGATTCAAGGAAGAATGAAGTTTAAAGACAGTAAATTCGACCTTGCTAACCGGACGCTCCTCTGTGTCCAAATCGGTTAAAGGCACGTCGAGCTAAATGACGGTTCCGTGTGTATCTCTTGCTTCTGTTTTTCGATTTCTTTTTCCAAAATATCCGAGTAATTCAGTCTGTTGCGCCCTCGTTTCACGTCAGATTTCGCTCACTGCAGCTTACAACTCTTCACCAAAAGTCAAAACGATTTTCAAGGGTTGTGGTTTAGATTAAGGACAACGTGAATGAGCAGTTGACGAAGGTCCCTAAAGAGCATTTTGTAGACTACTTAGACAAAAGAGAAAAAGAAAAAAGAAAGAATAAAGGAAGTGAAGTTGTAATAAGCGTTTGAGGTCTCCAGTTGAGTAATCTGAAGCGAACTAAGATGTTACTCCTTTTTTTTTTTTTTTTTAATGTTTTTTGGTCATTAAAATTAATACTGGATACTTTCCGGACAGAGCTCGGACAATCTCGTCATTTAATTGCAAAGTCGGCATTTTTTTTTTATTTATTTATTTATTGTATTCTTTCACGCGGATAAACTTGGACCAGATACTTTTGTTTCGTTCGTTACTGTTGCTGTTCTTGTTGCTGTTCCTGTTGTTGCTGCTGCTGTTGTTATTGTTGCTGCTGTTATCAATGTTAAACAATCAAGAATCAATTGAAAGTGAAATCTGAAAATGGCCGTGATAAAAAAAAATATCCAGTTAATTTTAAGGAACTTAATTAAGTTCCTTAAAACTATTATTAAATGTTTAAGGAAAGAGAAAAGTTAAACATGTGAAACGGAAAGAAGTGTGAGAAAGAAAGACGGGAGAAGAAAAGTAAAGGAAGAAGAGGAATAGGCGAAATGGCGGAGGGAGAAGTAGAAAAAGAGGTAGGGTAGAAAGAAAACGACAAAAAAAAAAGGAAAAACATTACAGGGAGACAAATCTGAAGAAATGAGAGAAACTAAAAAAAAGAAGAGAAAAATAGCAAAGTGGAGAAGGAAAACAAAAAGCAAAATTTGAAAAAAGTAAAGAACTTAAAAGAAAGAACGAAAGAAAGAAAAAAAGAAAGAAAGAAAGAAAGAAAGAAAGAAAGAGAAAATAAGATGAATTATTAGGTTGGTGCAAAAATAATGTCGTTTTTGACGTTCAACTTCAAAAGATCATAACTGCTTTCATAATAAACTTTATTAATCGAAATAGAGAGACATTTAACGAGAAGAGGAGGGGTGAAAAGAAAAATATGATGAAAACAAGTATAAAGGAAGGAAAAGTAAAAAGTAATGGGAGAAAATTACTGAGAAGAGGGATGAAAAGAAAAAGAAAGATTGAGAGAGAAATGCGAGAAGAAAGAAAGAAAGAAAGAAAGAAAGAAAGAAAGAAAGAAGGTAATGAATGATGGGAAAAAGAAAGAAAGAAGATAAAGAGAGAGGGGAAAAGAAAGAAAGAAAAAGAAAGAAAAAAAGAAAGAAAGAAAGAAAGAAAGAAAGAAAGAAAGAAGGTAATGAATGATGGGAAAAAAGAAAATGAAAGAAAGAAAAGAAGATAAAGAGAGAAAAGAAAGAAAGGAAAGAAAGAAAGAAAGAAAGAAAGAAAGAAAGAAAGAAAGAAAGAAAGAAAGAAAAAAAGAAAGAACGAAAGAGGCGGAGTAACAAATACAACAGAACTAAGTAGAAGAAAAAAGACGAAGACGAAAGGGAAAAACCCACAAAAAAAACACAAAAAGTATAGATTAATTAGATTTCTTGTTAATTTTGAATTAATGACTGAATTTCCATTCAAAATTCCATTCGCTGTTTGGCCTCTGTACAGGCATGCGCGCCCTTTGGCAACAGCATTCGTTCCTGTGTCCGCCATTTTATTTTCCATTGGTTGTGGGTTCTTACAGGTAATGTCTGCGTATGTCTGTGTATGGAAATATATTTATTTAGGTATTTGTGTAAGGTGGCTGATGTTGGAGAAGCATTTAAACCCTAAGCTTGCTCCCCGTTTTCATCCAACGCGAGTATCCAATCATTCACACATGCACGTCTAAGTGTTTCTGTTTGGAGGTGTGTAATTTACAGTTCTATATCAGTTAACAATCCAAAATAAAAACTATCCGTTTCCGCAAAGATGCCGTTTTTTTTTCTTAGCTTATTCTTATCTTCCTTTCTCTCTCTCTCACACTCTCTCTCTCTCTCTCTCTCTCTCACTCACATACATATATGCGTTCTCTCTCTTCCTCGCTTTCCTTCTTCCATTCCTTTAGTTTTTTCCCCTTATTTTTTAAAAACTATCTTTTACGCAATTCTTGTCTCTTCTATAGAACAGCCTCTAAAAGTAAGTTTTATCTTTCATGACATTTAGGAGTGATTTTTTTCTTCTTTTCTTCTTTCTACATTTTACTTATCTCTCTTTCACTCTCTTTCTCTATTTCCTTTCTTGTTTATTTAACTCATTCCTTTTCATTCTCACTAGACTCAAGGTGAGGCTTCAGCTCCTTTGCGTATTTCTTTCTCTGTGTCATTTTTATTTTTCTCGTCCTTTCAAAGTGTCTGCATTTTCCTGTTGGAACACTATCCTTTCTTTCTTTTTTTAAATTTCTTTCTTTCTTTCTTTCTTTCTTTCTTTCTTTCTTTCTTTCTTTCTTTTATATTACCCTGCTCTTTCTTCTAATTTTTTGTTACTCTTTTTTTCTTTCTTTTTCTCTTTCTTTCTTTCTTTCTTTCTTTCTTTCTTTCTTTCTTTCTTTCTTTAGCCTTCCTATCTATCTCCCTAGTAAGCCTTTTCTTTCTTTTACTTCATTTTCCTTCCTTCCTTCCTTCCACCTTTCCTGCCTTTCTTTCTTTCTTTCTTTCTTTCTTTCTTTCTTTCTTTCTTTCTATTACCCAACTCTTTCTTCTAATCTTTTTATTACTCTTTCTTTCTTTCTTTCTTTCTTGCTTGCTTGCTTGCTTGTTTTCTTTCTTAATATTACCCAACTCTTTGTCCTAAACTTTTTTGTTACTCTTTTTTCTTTCTTTCTTTCTTTCTTTCTTTGCTTCTTTCTTTTGCCTTCCTATCTAGTCAGCCTTTTTTTTTCTTTTCCTTCCTTCCTTCCTTTCTTTCTTCCTTCCTTCCTTCCTTCCTTCCTTTTTATTCTATTTCTCTTGCCTTAATTCATTCCTTTTCCTATATGTTATTTTCATAACTCTCTTCAAGGCAATCCTTATCTGCGTCTAGCTACTTATCTCTCCCTACTTCTTTTTGTCTCTGTCTCTTTCATTCTCCTTCTCTTTCTTATAAAACCCAAACTGTTCATCATTTTGTTTTTTCTTTAGTCCTTTCTTATTCTCTTTCCATTTTCCTCTCACCCGATTTTTCCATTTTTAGTTCTCTTCTAATTCTTTCCTTTTTTTCTTTTTCTTTCTATTCTGTTACTCATTCTTTTTTTCTTTCTTTGTTTCTTTTATCTTTCTATTCTGCCTCTCCCTCTCTTACTTTTGTCTTCATATATTTCGTCTCCTTTCCTTCTTATCAGTGTTCTTTCCTTTGCTTTAATTTAAACGATGCTTCTATGTGTCTCTCCCTCTCTGTCTCTGACTTAATCTATCTCTCTCATTTTCTCCCTCTCTCCTCCTTTTTTTCTCTCTCTCTTTCTCTGTCTGTCTGTTTGTCTCTCTCTCTCTCTCTCTCTCTCTCTCTCTCTTTAATACAACTCTTTTATAGTAATTCTTATTTTGTTCTCTTTTATTTATTTTTTTTTTATTGGACTGTTTTTCTTTATTTTTTCTCCCCCCCCCTCTCTCTCTCTCTCATACTCTCTCTCTCTGTCTCATGCTCTCTCTGACACTCTCTCTTTCTCTCCCCCTCTCTCTCTCTTTTATACAACTCCTCTATAGTAATACCTATCTTGTTCATTCTTATTCTCTTTCATTTTTTTTTTATTGGACCGGTTTTCTTTATTTCCCCCCCTTTCTCTCTCTCTCTCCCTCTTTCTCCCCCTCTCTCTCCCTCTCTCACACTCTCACACTCTGTCTTTTATGCTTTCTTAGCATTTATCTATTTTTCCTCTTTCGCCCGCAGTCCCAGCCGGCAAAAACGTGACGGGCTTTTCCAACAAATATAAACAATCGATGGATTCGTAGCCATTTTGAGAACACGTTCCGAAGTAACAAGCAAGCAAAAAAATAAAAAAAAATTCTCTAAAATAAACAAAATACCCCCCACCCAAAAAAAAAGACTGAATGAACAAGAAAATGTCTAAAGAACAAACAAAACAAATGAAAAAAAAAGAGAGATTTTTAAGCCCTTTTTATAACCAAACAAAAACAAAACACATTTTGCTCTCAAAAATCCAATTAGAACCTTCCAGAGCAAAAGCGAAAATGAATACAAAAGCAAGAAAGAGCCATAAAAATCACGCATATTAAAAATAACAAATATTTTCATTAAAAACGACGTTAATTGGGCTTTAGTCAAATACAAATTGGATATCGCAAATATTATGAAGAAAAACAACTCAATTCTTCTCCGGAAAGAGATAAACAAATAATGGTTGAGCTAATTTAAAATAATAATTAATTATTTAAGAAGTGTGGTGGAGGGGAGCGAAGAGAAGAATACAATCAACAAATGATTAAAATGCAGATTTTGGAATTACAAAACATTGATTCAGTAACACAGTTGAAAAATTATAATAAAAATAATCACCGCCATTTTGACTAAAACCACCAACGATGATGATGCTGATTACGACAACAACAACAACAACAACACCAAGAAGAAACCGGATTAGAATCTACAGAAATATTTTATCTCCTCATTAATAAGAATAAAATAATATTGAAAATTAGGAGGAAAGAAAGACTTTTTCTATAACACGACTACTACGACTGTTACAACTACAGCTGCGGCTACTACTGCTACTAATATTAATACTACTACTACTGCTACTACTACTACTACTACTAATAATAATAATAATAATAATAATAATAAGAAGAAGAAGAAGAAGAAGAAGAAGAAGAAGGCTACCATCTGCAACAAAGAAAATTGAGTTTTAACTCCAATCAAATTTGTGCAATTTCAAACTTGCCAAAAAAAAAAAAAAAAAAGAAAGAAAGAAAAAAAGCACAAGCAGCGAGATTCGATGTTAGGAATTTTGAAATGTCCATAATATCATGAAGCAGAAGTCTGTGATTGCTGGAGACTTTCTTTCTCTGACTCTCTAGCAATAACTACCAGACATCTGGTGTGTGAATGTAAAGGCATAGAATATAAATTTGCATGCATAAAACAAATATATATATATATATATATATATATATATATATATATATATATATATATATATATGTGTGTGTGTGTGTGTGTGTGAAGAAATATAGTCTTAAAATATATATAGTCTTAAATATATATATTTTTATAATATATATATATATATATATGTATGTGTGTGTGTGTGAAGAAATATAGTCTTAAAATATATATAGTCTTAAATATATATATTTTATAATATATATTTTATTTATATATATATATATTTATATATATATATATATATATCAGCTTGTTTTTATTTCTCCCTCTCAATATATATATATATATCTTTATAAAAGAAAAACCAAAAGGAAAATATTTTATGCCAAGGAATATTTTTTAATGTATGTTTACAAAATTTATTTAGTAATGTAAATTTATACACAGAGGTCATCATCTATACATCTCATTCTAACCCTATGTATCTCATTCCGATCCTATCTATCTATCTATCTATCTATCTATCTATCTATCTATCTGTCTGTCTGTCTATTTTTAGTAAGTTCATAAAACCGCTTTAAAAGTGCTTAAAATCTGTCTGTCTGCGTAGGACATGTGACTCGCTGGGAAAGGTGTTAAAACGGCAACGAATTGAATAAACAGACTAATGGTAAATTCCCTAACCAGAAAAGAAAAGAAAAGTAAAGAATACCAAGTTGATTCCGACTTTGAAATCCAAAATCCAGACGAAATGTCTAGATTTCGACATCACAAGAGAAAACTTGTCAGATTCACGTCGTCTGTCTTCCAACAGACCATAAGTAAAGATTTTAACAAAATGAACATTTCCAGAGAATAAAAAGTCTTCTTTTTTTTTTTACTTAAGGTTCGCCAATACACTTCCCAAGAGTCGCAAATGCGAAATACAAAGAAGAATCTGCAATGTTATTAGTCCTGACCTGGCATCTCAGCTTAATTTACCCCCCCCCTTACCGCCGTAACGTAGCTCCCGTGTATCTTTTCTAGAAATATTTTCATGGTGATTGTTTTAGCGAGATTTACTCTTTGGTACCTAGACTATGAATTTTTATAACTCTCAACATTCAATCCAACTAATTTTCCTTTAATAATACGCTGTTATAGAGCTAGGGTGGATCCAAGTACTGGTAGTCTACATCTGAGTAAACAAGATGATTTTAGCCATTTTTGTGGAAAAAATGAAGAATTATACGCCATCAGATACGGTACTTCTTAACGAATTGGTGTAATTGGTCGGGTTTAAAACTTCAACATATTGGTAAACATTGTTCGCGTTTAATACTCGTGTGTATAGGGAAAATTGTTTACTTAATCTACAGATAAACATTTGGCGTTTTTATACTTGAGATTAAGCAAACATTGGGAGGGTTTATATTGAGTTAATAAATAAATGTTGACCGGGTTTAATAGTTGAGTCTGCCCGGGAGAAACTGGATGTGTTTAAAACTTGAATCTATAGGCAAATGTTGGCTCTATAGGTAAACATTATCTGGTTGTATACTTGACTCTATATGTAAATATTGTCCGTGTTTAATACTTGAGGCGATGGATAAACATTGTCCGTGCTTAATATTTGAGTCGATAGGTAAAAAATTATAGGATTTGATAATTGACGTTTAGGGAGAAAAATTTTCCCCCCTCTGCAAAGGATACGGTCATTATATTATAGTCCCTGCCAAGACAGTTGAATTTTAAATTAACTAACAACTTAAAAACATTGACAGTTTTTCTTTTCTTTTCCCGTTAAAACAGAACAAAAGTTTCCTGTCTTGTGTGCCTCTGCATTCCGTTGTTACAACGACTGCTGCATTGATAAAGACCGGGTTTAATAGTTGAGTCTACCAAGAAAATTCTGGATGGGTTTAAAACTTGAATCTATAGGCAAATGTTTGCTCTATAGGTAAACATTATGTGGTTGTATACTTTATTTTATAAGTAAATATTGTTCGTGTTTAATACTTGAGGCGATAGATAAATATTGATAGGTTTTAATACTTGAGACTATTGAAGAATTTCTTTTCCCCTCTGCAGAGGATACGGTCGGTGTATTGTAGTCCCTGCCAAGGCAGATGATTTTTAAATCAACTCACAACTTAAAAACATTAAGAGTTTTTTTTCTTTTCTTTTCTCGTTAAAACAGAACAACCGGTTCCTGTCCCGTGTGCCTCTTCATTCCGTTGTAAGAACGACTGGTGCATTGACAAAGACCTTGTCTGCGACAGAATCAATCACTGTGGAGATTACTCAGACGAATCTTCAGAAGAGCGTTCCAAATGTGGTAAGTAATAAACTGTTTATCTATTCCCTCTCTATACGGCATGTCACTTCTGGAAGCGAAGAAAACACCTCTCCACGGTTTGTTTTTCTTATTTGTATTTGTCCCTTGAAGATCTCAATCCTTTTTCTTTGTTTGTCCAAACTTTCACAGACCAATCCGTTTGTATTCCTCGATTTCATTTAACTTCGATACGGCCTGTGAATGTTGAAGTCTCCAAGACTTCTTACCTCATTGTGTGTCTCCAAAACCTCAGCTGTTTCTTTCTGAGTGTAGTTGTTTTTTTGGTTTTTCTCTTTCAAATTCATTATTTGTCAAATGATCGATTGATGCTTAAATATTCTTTAGTAAAAAATTCACATTATCATCAGTTCAAAATCATTTGATTTTTTTTGTGATGAAACTATCCAGTACCGTTTAACCTCCTACCTAAAAAAAAAAAAAAACAAGATTTCCAAATTCACGAATTCTACCGTATATACTCGTGTATAAGCCGGCCCAGAGTTCTTTGGTGAAAAACCTGATTTTTCTCATATAGCTCGTGTATAATACGACCCCGGCTACTAAGCAATAATAGTAGGCCTAGCGTTGTCAATTATTTCAGTACTAGGTACCATTCTGGATATATTTTGTACCAAAAATTGTTTTTGAACTAAAATGATGAGAAAACCACTTACCGTAAAATATCTGATACGAAAATTTGAATTCCATACATTTTTTTTTTTTTGTACAGCAGCTCCTTTACGCCGGGCCTGATCTATAAGACGGTTTTGAAAACCGTTATTAACTAGCGCTTGTTTCACATTGATAAGTTCTTTAATATACGTGTGTGTGTTTAACAACAACAACAATTACTTACGCGCATGCGCGCGCGCGTGTGTGTGTGTGTGTGTGTGTGTTTGTGAAGAGATATCAAAAGAAACAATCGAAGCAAATATATTAAACAATTTTAGCTGTTGCTGTTTGGGATCAGCACACCAAAACATTGAGAGGCACCTTACAAAAATCATTGCACTGTATACTTTAAAGGTGTACTTCAAAGGAATATTGATGGTAATTCTTTTTGTGGTCAAATTCCTCACACTTAGAGCATAGATATGTACACACACACACACACACACACACACACAGACACACATATATATATATATATATATATATATATACGTACGCATAAATATAAATTTATATATATATATATATATATATATATATATATCTTACATTTTGATGAATATAGAATCACTCCACTCTCTATTTCTCACTCTCTCTCAATATATTTGGTGTTCGTGTGTGTGTGTTCGTGTGTGTGTGTGTGCAAATTTACGAAGAAAATTGCTCGCAAATCGTTTCTAACTGACGTCAATTTCTATGAAAAATGAGAAAATAATAAGGAGCGAAATTTTTCTTCCCACGAAAAAAGAATTTTAAAAGTTTTTTAATTCATTACTAATTATTGATAATGACTTCCATATATCAAAGAAATATAGTCATAAAACCGTAAAATATAATCTTTGGGAGAATATGTATTTAGATATATATATATATAGATGTGAAAAGACACAGATAGATAGATAGATAATGAATACACAGATAGATAGATAGATAGATAGATAGATAGATAGATACGAGCAGACAAAGATAGATATGGACAGACTAAGGTACAGTGTAACCCGGATATAAGAGAGTTATCGGGACCGGAGAAGTCTCTTATATCCGGGTTTGGTCTATTTTATATACATTAACACAGGCTCTAATTTGGGACCAGAGAAAATCTCTCTTATATCCGGGTTTCTCTTATATCCGGGTTACACTGTAGATAGATGGATATGAATAGACAAATGTAGACAGATATGATCAGACTAAGGTGTGTATAGATAGATAGATAGATAGATAGATAGATAGATAGATAGATAGATATGAACAGACTAAATAAATATCCCATGCTGAAATTCATACACAAATCGGAGTGTAATATATTTATACGTATTCTTATAGTGATTTTCTAAGCACTGCTTAGATGTGGCACAAGGCCGAAAGTATGGGGCACCCAGTGAGGATCGAACTCACTACTCAGTCGTAATTGATCTAGCAAGACAAGCTTTCTAACCATTAAACAACGTCCATGCCATCTTACACATTCTTATATATCCATTCAAATTGACACTGAGTTAAATATATAGAGACTTGAAAAGTAACTCCCTATTTTATGTATGACTGGCCAGCCTGGAGTCCTGCCTTAACACCTGTCACCTTTTTCTCTGGGCTTAGTTAAAGGAGTAAGTATGCTATACCAAACCAAGACTAAGAACTTCAAGGGCGAATATAAGAAGTTACGTCTTCCATACCACAAGAGTTTCTGGTGGAATCAGTTGACGTGATTCCTGGGCAGTAAGAGTAACTCGGAGCAAAATCTGGTGTCATATTGAATTTTGAATAAAAACTCATGCTAAACACTTTCCTTTTATATCAATTTCTTGTGAAAATTTATATAGTTAATAAATAAATTATAATTATTTAAAATTTTGACGTACTTTTCAGTCACCCTGTACACACACACACACACACACACACACACACACATATACATATATATATATATATATATATATATATATATATATATATATGTATATAAATAAAAAGAAAGAACAGTAAGATATATAATCCGGTGTTCTTATAGGTATTTCTATTTTTACAAAATAGTGCTCGATGTAAATTTACAGAGCATTAATATTATAAATTAATTGATTTAAAATATGGTTTTTTCCGCTACACAGTTCTAACCATGTTTCAAAAATGGAAGCTAAAAGCCACGAATTTAATTTTTCAATTAAATTAAAGACATTAGTTCCATTTCATCCTCAAGCGAATTTTGGAGGAACTTTTAAAATTATTTGGTTTTAAAGACACAGCTAAAACCACATAAGGAAAACCCAGACACCCCTTGTCCTGTTGAAGTAGATTTATCTGTAACCATGGAAACGTGATTTTAGCTGTGTCTTTAAAACCCGGTAATATATATATATATATATATATATATATATATATATATATATATATATATATATATATATATATATAATGTATATATAATTCAAAACAAAACATATTATATGTATGCATTGTCATATACATTATTTACATTATTCGGACTATTGTCCTCATCTTTGTCGCCATTTTTATTACTGCGTTTTAGCCGTTGTACGCTCCGGCCTTCTTCAGGTGGTTGGAATGTCGAACTGAACCCGTTATTTCGCTCACTGG